CTTTCAATGTGATTATTGAGAGGCAAGGTTTGATTGCTATCATTTTGGTGTGTTCTTTTTGGTATTGTTGCTGGTTACTTTGGTGTGTCCTGTTTTCTTTGGTACCTCTGTAAGGAGGACGTTTCTCAGTGTTTCCTGCAACACTGGTCTTGTTTTTACAAACTCCCTTAGGTTCTGCTTTTCTCAGAATATATAGATCTTCCTTCATATTTTATAGACATTTTTGCTGGATACAGTATTCTTGGTTGACAGTTGTGTCCCTTGAGTATTCGATATATGTCATTCCATTGTCTTCTTGCTTGCATGGTTTTTGCTGAGAAATTGGCACTTAATTTTAACTGGTGTCTCTTATAGTTTATTCTTTGTTTCTCCCTCACTGCTTTCAGAATTCTCTCTTTATCTTTGGTTCTGGCAAATTTGACTATGATAAACCTTGGTGTTTTTCTTTTGGGGTCTGTTCTATATGGTGTTCGCTCAGCTTCTTGAATATACTCTCATTCTTCATTACGCCTCAAAAGTTTTCTTCTAATTGTTCTTCCACAACTTTCTCATTGTCTTTACTTCTTCCTATTGTGGGATTCTGATTATGTGCATGTTAGTCCTTTTGATGGTATCCCACATTATTCTTAGGCTTTCTTCTTTTTCCTTCCTTTTTGATTCTGCTTTTTGTTCTAGCAGAACAGTGGTGACAGTTCTGTTTTCTTCACTAGTTTGTCTTCCACCTCTTCAACTCTGTTCATATGTCTCTCCAGCATGTTGACAGCATCTGAAACATTGGTCTTAGTATTTTGGATTGTGGTTTCTTATTTTTCCAGGGCCTCTAATGCCTTGCTTGGGTTTTTTTCTGCATTGTTTTGGATTGGGGTTTGTTTGGTATTTTTGTTGTTGTTGTTGTTGTTTTGTTGTTTTTTTTAAGTTCCTCTTGGTTTTTGCTTTCAGTGGCCTGTAATTCTTCAAGTTTGTCTTTCATCCATTGAAAATATTCAACCATTGTTCTTTTCAATTCTCTGTCAGAAAGTTCATCAGACTTTCTGGCTTCAGGAAATCCATTGATATGTGTCACTTTTTGGGGGGTTGACATCTTGTTTTTAGCCTGTTTCTTCCATAACATTGCTGCGGTAGAGGTTTTTATGCTCTTGGTCCAAGTCACTGTTGCAAAGCAGGGCAGGCCAGCTACCGCTCCTGAGTTTCTTTCTGAATTTTTAACTCAGGGGAAGACTTACTTCAATTTGGGAGAGCTATGGCCTGTGAATTAGCAACCTCTGCTGTCAGACAACTGCTGCAGGGAGGTCATTTTAAGATGTCTGAAGACAACTGAAGGTTTAGGATGCGGTAGGAAATGAAATGGCTTCACCTGTGATACTGATGTCTCTGGTACCTTTCAGAAGGGCAGCAGAGAGTTGTCCTCCAGGCATTAGGGCTGGAATGTCCAGGTTTTGGGCCACGTCCTCCAAATGATGGGGGCAGGTCCTTCAAGAGGTAGGGCCAAGACTTTCAGACAACAGACACAGGACTTCTGGTGGCAGACTGAACATTCTGGCAGTAGTGATGGGGCTTCCAGGTGGAGGGTCAATGTTGGGATTCCAGACAGCGGGCAGGAGTTTCCAGGCAGCTGGGAATAGTATTCCAGGTGGCAGGGCTGGGGGCCTCCAGTGTGAGGGCATGGGACCCACCAGGCAGCAGTCCTGCCGTCTTAGTGCTCTAGGCAAGAGACCCATCCAGGACACACTAAGACATTTTTAAAGCAGGTACCTAGTTAGTTGACTGGATATGGGCTAGAGAGCGATGCGTTGGAGAGCCTGGAGCTCTTTATATAACTAGTACAGTGCACATCTTCTATATGGTTGATGGTTTAAATCACCAACTTTCTACGATATCACCAGGGCCATTGTATATACTTTATACCCATATATAATCAGAAAAACTTTGATATTGAATAGAATTGTTCTTTGGTGTGTGATATTTTTCCTCTACTTGTACCTTTCAGTCATACTTCTTAGTGGATATTACCTGCAGTCTGTGAGATGTCATGCCTAGTTATTGTAAAGATTGCAGAAATTAAAATAATGTGATCTCTAAGACCTTATATAGACAAATACCTTAAACAGTATGCTGCCTATAACTGATAAAAAGACATTCTGTGGATGTTTCACAAGGGAGATTTTGGGGTTCTTTTACTAGTGTGTCTAGGAAGCCTTTTCTCCCAAAACCTTCTTTGAACTGGATTCATGATATTAACCACAAAAGTGTTTACAGTAGGTATTCCAGGGGAAAGACACAAGTCAACCAAATAGAAGCACTTATTTTAGAAATAGCAAAGTTTATCAATTTGGCAAATATATTAGTTTCCTCTGATAAAGTGATAAAAATATCTGAGATGGCTAGAATATGAAACAAAGTAAAGCACAAAAATCTTAGTGTTGTGTATCACAAGGAGCTGTTGAAGATAAGACCATATCAAAATACTATTTAAGAATACAACCTGAAAAGTGTGAAGTGAGAGTTTGGAGACTATAGAGAAATAGCAGGTATCAGAGAAACTAGTTAAGATGCTTGTGGGATAGTCTAGGTTTAAAATTGCAAAGACTTACACCAAGATATTAGCCTTACAGAACTGTAAAGAAAGAAATGAGATGTGAAAAGAAACCAGAGTGAGTGATGATGGTGCAGCTCAGGCATTGTTCTCTACCTTGGAGAAGCAAACCTGAATAAAGAAAGTATTTTACTCTTGAGACATTGACATTCTAGTCAGCTCAAGGCAAATAGTTAAAACTTCATTACAACACACTATGAAAAATGATTATGTGCATAGGAAGAAATTCTATTTAAAGGGCAGGTATGTCAAGGAAAGTTCCTCAAAGAAGGGGATGTGACTTGGATGATAAGGTGTCTGGGTAGGGAAGGAAGATATTCTAGGCAACAAACCAACATGCAGAAGCACAAACTTAGGAAATGATTTATCGAGGAATTGGAAATAATTCAGTATGGTTGGAGCTTGGTGTACTCTCTGAAAGTGGTATAGTACTTCATGCTTTACTGAATTGGAGGTTTCGAAGGAGAGGTAAAATTCATAGATCCAGCAAGCTTTGAACCTAGATAATTATAGGAAGTCTGAAAAAAAATAGTAAAGTGAATGTATTGGTGATAATAAATTTGTTTCTGGACTTCTTCCTTTTAGTAACTACATGCACTAAACACTAAGTTTGTACAGGGAATTAATCTCAGCACTGGGAAAGCAAAAACAAAACAAAATCTGCCTGTTTGAAGCTTCTGTTTCTTCATAAAAGACACCACAATGAATAGTCCAATATCATATATTGTAAAAAGACAGTAAGTGCTGTAAGAAAATGGAACAAGGTAAAGGAATAGGGAATGTGCAAAAGAGCACAAATTTAGATTGGATAGGCAGACATTTGAACCCAAAGGCCTGATAGAAAATAAGGAGTCATCTAAACATCTGGAGGTGGAACCTTCCATGTAGAGAAAAAGCCTCTGTAAATGTTATGAGGCAAGAACATAGATCCATTAACCTCAGAAAAAAGTGAATACATTTGGGAGCAAAGAGAAAACAATAAGAGAGGAAATCAGAGGCCAAAGCATGAGGACTTCTAATTTTATCCTTATGGTTATAGGAGGCTTTGGGGGGTTTGTGAAGGATGTAATTTTTGTTTTAAAAGGATCACTCTATGGAGGCTTTTAATAGTGCTAATGCGAAACCTATACTTGGACCAAGAGGCAGTCGTCAGAACAGAGCAGGGCAACACTGAATGGTTCAAAATTGGGAAGGGTGTGCGCCAGGGATGTGTCCTATCTCCATACCTTTTCAACCTGTATGCAGAGCAGATTATCTGAGAGGCTGGGCTCTATGAGGAGACGCGTGGCATTAGGATTGGCAGAAGATCTATCAACAATCTGCGTTATGCAGATGACACAACCTTGCTTGCTGAAACTGAGGAGGACCTCCTGCACTTACTGCAGAGAGTCAAGGACTATAGCCTTCAGTATGGACTGAGGCTCAATGTCAAGAAGACAAAGATTCTCACCACTGGACTAATTGGTAGCATCAGGATGGATGGCGAAGAGATTGAGATTGTTCACAGTTTCAGTTTGCTTAGCTCCACAGTCAACATTCTTGGCATCAGCAGCCAGGAAATAAAAAAAGTATTGCTATGGGAAAGTCTGCTATTAGGGACCTCTCTAAAGTACTCAAGAGCAACGGTGTCTCTTTGGAGATGAAGGTGCGCCTGATACAGACCACAGTCTTTGCTGTCACTTGTTATGCATCAGAGAGTTGGACAATTGACTAGGGAGGACAGAAGGAGAATTGATGCCTTTGAGCTGTGGTGCTGGAAGAGAGTACTGAATGTACCATGGACTGCCAAGAAAATAAACAGATTCATCCTAGGGAGGGTTAAACCAGGCTCCTCCTTGGAGGCAAAGATTCTGGGGCTTCGTCTGACATACTTTGGACATGTTGCAAGGAGAGACAGGTCTTTGGAGAGGGACATCATGCTGGGTAGAGTAGAGTAGAGGGGAAGATCCTCTATGTGGTGGATTGATTCAGTGACTGGGGTAATCGGGATGGGTGTGTCAGAGGCAATACGATTGGCACAGGATAGAGCAGGGTTTAGGGCTGTTGTACATAGGGTCGCTATGAGTCACAAACAACTCGACGGCACATAACAACAACTATGGAGGCTAAGTGAAAAATGTTAGTGTGTGGACTTACTAGGAGACTACAGTATTAGTCCACTCGAGATGATAATGGGTTAGACGAGGCTGGTAGCACTGGGAGAAGTGAGATACACTGGTCATAGGAGTTATTTGAAAATTAGACCAATTTAATTTGCTGGAATTTGTATTGACCCTAATACTTTATGTGTGTTTTAGGCATTGTAATACTGAGGAATGTTCTCTTCCTTAAAAATAAATAAATACATATATACACAAATGGGTGTATATGTATCTTTGTGGTTTTTGTTTGTTCTTTCTTTTTCTAGGTTTGATTTCTCAGGAATTGGAAGTTCAGATGGCATCTTAAGAGACTGTACGCTGGGAAAATGGAGAAAAGATGTCCTTTCTATAATTGATGACTTAGCTGATGGTCCACAGGTGAGTATTATTGTTAAATACTTGGATATTACCTCATATTTGAGCTGATTCTTTAGATAGGAAAGTGTATTTACTATTTTAATCTTTAAAAAAATCAGTTAAGTATAAACTTTATCATTTTTTACTTTTAACAATAGATGAATGTAGCACTTTTTTATTGTATAAACTTTGATTTTCATGCTTTATTACAGAACTAATACTTCTTTAGGGAACTCTGGTGACCTAATGGTAAGAAGCTGCAGTGTAATCCCAGAGGCATATAGTTTGAATCTACTAGCTGCTTGTCAAGACAAGAATGAGCGTTCTCCTTCTGTGAGATATACTGCCTCTGAAAATCTGCTGGAGGGGCAGCTATGGGTCGGTTCTGACTTGAACACACAAAACAATAAGAATAATCACGCTTTAATTCTGTTTTTTTGCTACATAGTCATGTATTTGGAAATCACATATATATGAAAGAACAAGTTATAAATCTCTATTAAATTATTTGGTCACCTCTATAGGCAAGAAAATGAAATTCCCTTTAGAAATTGTACATTTTTTTTCTTTTTAGATTCTAGTTGGATCTAGCCTAGGTGGATGGCTAATGCTTCATGCAGCTATTGCACGGCCAGAAAAAATTGTTGCACTTATTGGCATAGCTGCAGCTACAGATAGTATAGTGACACAGTTTAATCAGCTTTCTGTTGAGGTAAGTCACAAATGGTCACTTTGGTAACCTCAGTGTATGTTTTAGGTGACTTGTTCTGTGTACTGTCTAATCTTTGACTCTTTTTGTTGACTCATATTTTTTCTTTTTGTATACAGTCTCTTTTAAACTTTTTAGCTTATTGCTAATTTTTCTTTTCATCATGCTCTTAAAATTATTTTGTCAGATAACTACTGCTGTGCCAGTTGAAAAAAAATTAGCACATTTACAAAAAAATTCCTATAGTGGGGATAGAAGTGTTTGGCAAATAAATATTGAAACTCTGGTATTCACATAGAAAATATTATTTTCTTACCACATTTATGGAATTATGCTTTTATCTTTTTTTAACCACTTTCCTTTTTAATCACAATTAGCAATTTGGATTCTTATTTTGTGAATTGTGGAAAACAGATAATCTATTCTTGATGATAAAAAATGACCATATTAAATTCTTGAATTCAATAATAAAACTATTGATAGTCAGTAATAAAACTATTTTCTTATCCTGAAAGCAGTGTAGCTCGCCAAACATGTATATCCAGTCAGTTAGACCTGGCACTTTAGTGATAAGGTTTGCCATTCTTGACAGTTGCCTTTCTTTTAAATCATACGCATTTTTAAAGTATACTTTTCAGTATTAGCAACAAATTGTTATAGAAGTACAATACTGCAGCCTTCAATATGGATTGCATTTCATTGTCAAGAAAAAATTCTCACCACTAGACCAATAGGCAACATTGTGATAGATGGAGAGAAGGTTGAAACAGTCAACAACTTTATCTTACCTGGATCCATATCAACACCCTTGATACAAGCATTCAGGAGGTCAGGAGAACTATTACACTGGAAAAATCTTCAGAGACCTCTCTATATAATGTTTGAGGACTAAGGTGTCGCTGATTCAGACCATTGATTTTTCAATCACTTGTACTGCTGTGAGCTGAAAGTAAATAAGGATGACAGTAGAATTGATGCCTTTGAACTGTGGTGGTGGACAATAGTGCTGGACATCCCATGGACTGCAGAAATAACAAACAGATAAGTCTTGGAGAAGTTACAGCCAGAGTGCTGCTTGAAGGCAAAGATAATGAAGCTTCATCTGACATACGTTGGTCATGTTGTTAGAAGAGGCTGTTCCTTGGAGAGAACTTCATGGTTGGTTAGGTGGAGGGACAGCGAAGGAAATCAAGACATTCAACCAGGTGAATTGACTCAGTGGCTGCAGAAATGGGCTTGAGTGTGAGTGTGGCACAGAATAGGACAGGGTTCAGATCTGTTGTTCATAGGGTCATTGAGTCTTATTCGACCCAATAGTACCTAACAACAGCAATTGTAGAAGTAAGCATTCTGAAAGCACTGAGGATTTTATTTGTTGCTGCCAAGAGAACCCTCTTGGAGAGGGTGAAAACAAGCTGTCTCTTAGAGACCAGAATTTTGGTTATCATGCTTGGAAGAGTGGAGGGACAGTGCAAGAGAGGAAAACCTCAGATGAGATGGGTTGATGCAGTAATTGGAGTAATAGGATAGGTGTGTCAGAGACAGATTGGCTCAGGATAGTGTAGGGTTCAGAGCTATTGTGCATAAGGTCACTATGAGTCATAGTCAACTTTATGACACATAACAACATCCTTAAACATACTTTTAATTGTGTCAGTAATTTGCAGGTATAAAGAAAGATGAGTAGGATGCCATGCAAAATGACTGAGTAATCAAACCAAACCAAATCTATTATTTGTTCTGCTAAGATTAGTAGCAGAGTAGCAGACCAGTTTCCAAAGAGAAGTCAACAGTGTCCCAGATGTTTGATCTGCTGTATGACTCCATGGTTTCCAACATCACGTGTTTCTCTTTAATTCAGTTTGTCTGCTCCTCTGTGTCCCGTTGGAATGGTGGTTCGCTGGAAGAGCTCAGAGACTCAGACCCATCAGGGGAATGATTCGCACAACTGTGGGTTATACAGGCCAATGTTGCTGAGACCAGTGAATCATATGCATTGATTGAGGTGCAGCTAGATGCTGTGTGCCAGGAAAATGAGTCTCCCAAAAAAGAGTATTGAGCTACTGTAAGCTTATAGTAGGCCTCTGATAGGATATGGCTTGTTCCCTACCCTAATCCTGTCTCCTTAATACAATAAATATTTCATCACACAATAAATAATTAATCAAAGGCCAGGAAGGACATTTCGTTTATTTGGCGTCACTAAACCTTTGACATCACAGTAACCAAACAAAAACCAAATCTATTGCTGTAGACTCAGTTCCAACCTTCCATTGGGTTTCAAAAGATGTAAATATTTTCTATGGGAGGAGACTGCCAATCTTTCTGTCACAGAGTAACTGGTGGATTCAAACTGTACTTCCAAAGAACAACAGTTGCACTAGAAAGAGCAATTAGAACTAGCTATTTTGTTACTCTGGGAGCTAATCAGACACTTAAAATCAACCAGGGGAGTTCTTGATAAAGTGACAAGTTGCTGGTATTTCCTAGGCCAATTTCATGTGCCCAACAACTCCTATGCTCTATTCCTCAGCCCTGCCAAAGAAGTGAGGATGGCAGCCGATTTTCCTGACGTAATTGGTGCCAGGGTACAGACAGTAGGGACCTCATCCTCTAAGACTGTATGGTTGAACATAGGTCTTTATGACTGCATAGGTCTGACTATGGCTTGAGGGAAAGGTGCAGATTTTTGTAGGTTTTCAGCGCTCTCACAGAAGCAGCTTCTAGCAGCTGGCAGAAAACTAAAAGTTCAGCCCAGTTGTGGTTGTGATTTTTTTTTTTTCTTCTTACCATTTGTTTTCTTTTTTAAGAGCTCTGTCAGGCACCTAACTGACTGCTGAAAGATAACAGAATAGGAAAAAGCAGTACACAAAAAGGAGTTAATTAGATGATAATATTTCATTAATTACAATAATGAGTGATAATTATGTTTTTAAACAAACTGTCCATGGCTGAATGAAAAATCAATATGATTTTTAAATTTCACTCACATACAAGAAATGATTTTATAAAACACATTGTGAATGAAGGAAAGCGAAATACAACCTATACCAATTTTGTATGCAAATCAATGTAAAATAAAAAGAATAGAGAAAAAAAATCTATTAGCACAGAGTAACTTCCAACTCAGTGACCTTGTACTGGGTTTTCGAGGATGTATATGTTTATGGGAGAAGACTGCCATCATTCTGTCATAGGTAGCTGATGGATTCAAACTGCTGGTCTTTTGACTGTCAGTGCAACATGTAATGCATTACCATAAACTCTAAGGATTGTACCTCCACCCAAACAACAAATGCGTTGTAAAGAGTAATTAGAACCAGCTGCTTCATGACTCCAGGAGATTTTACATTATCTTGAAAAAAGGGAATAAAAAAGGTTAGATAAAAATTTAACAAAGTTGGGGAGCTCTATTGGCCTAGTGGTAAGGAGCTGCAACTACAATCTCAGAGGCACACAGTTCGAAGCCACCAGATGCTCTGCCGGGGAAGGAGGGACAATCTCCTCCTGTACCAGTCAGATATGATTTGATGGTCCACTCACACAAAAATAATAAAAATTTAAAAAAAAAAATTTAACAAAGTAAAAAAAATAATAGATTGAACAAGACTAGATGTTGGTTCTTTGAAAGGATTAATAAAGTCCTTGAAAATCCACTGGCAAAAGCTATTAGCAAATCTAACAAAGGAAAAAAAGAGGTAGATGCAAATGACATGAATAAGAAATGAAACATCTGAGGAAACAACTAAAGACAAAGGGTAATATAGTATAGTATAATAAAGTATAGGAGCAGTGGTAGCATGAGGATGGCGAAGTCTGACTTTTACCTGCTTCATAAAGGAGAACTATCCTCATTAATAAAGTCCACAGCACCATATAAATAGCTACATAGTATGACATACCATCCCTATGTTGCGTCTGTTTCTTATATAGTAGGACATTGAGTAACCATACTCCAGCAAATCTGAAAAACTATACAACATCAATAAATTTTTAATAACTATTCAAAATTCATTCTTCTAAGACTATAACAAATCAATTATAAGAAGTGTAGTCAACAGTATCCCAAATGTTTGATCTGCAGTATAATTCCATGATTTCTAGCATCAACAGTCCCTCCTTTTCTCAGTTTCCTTGCAACTCTACAACCCTTGAGTTTGGTGGTTTGAGGGAAGGTCTCCTAGAGACTCAGATCTATCATAGAATGAGTCATGAGACTGTAGGTATGCAGGCCAGTTTTACAAGAGACTAGTGAGGGTTGTAGACTATTCATTGCACTGTAGCTGGAAAATTGGCTTTCCAAAAAGAGAGCTAGCACTGAGGTCCGATGAGTTTATATAAGTCTCTAGTTAAGAGGAGTTGTATGTCACCCTAATTCACTCTCTTTAACATAATAAATACTTCATGATAAATCTTTGGCTCTACAGAGTAATATACTATCTACTTAAACCAACACAGACAAAGACTGAGGTTGAAAATTTGAATAAGCTCGTTGCAAAAGAAGAAATGAGAAAACTCAAGAACAAAAAAGTCCTGGCCCAGATAGCTTCACCAGTGAATTATACCAAACATTCAAAGAGCTGACATCAACTTTTCCTTTTTAAAAACAAGCAAACAATAAAATACCCCAACTTTGAAAAACTTTTTTTTTAAAGATGGCTGATCAAAAGTAAAACTGTACTCTGCAGCCCAACTAGTCTCTAAAGACCACTTTCTTGTTACTCAGAGAAAGTACAACAACAAATAAAAGCAACCAAAAAATACTGGGTTCTTCCACTACTCAGGGACTGTTGTTGATACTTAATGAAGAAAAATAGTCGATCATGACTTTGCAAGCTGTTTTTATTAACATATGTTGTTGTGTGCAGTTGAGTCAGAACTGACCCATAGCTGAATCTCCATCAGGTTTTCAGTGGAAGTTAATTGCATGGGAGGAAACTTCCATCCTTCTCCCTTGGACCAGCTGGTGAGCAGTTGGTGGATTCGAACTACATTCTTTTGTCATTACAGCTCAGCTTCTTGCCACTACGTCACCAGAGCTTCCTATATATATTGTTGTGAGGTGCTATTGAGTTGGGTATGACACATAGTGACCCTATGAAAAACAGATCTGAATTGTGTCCTATCCTTTCCCATCCATAATCTATACATAATATGCATATATTTCTTATTTATTGTATGTGAGTGAAAGTTTAAAAAATTATACTGATTTTTAATTCCTCAACAACTTTAATTTTTTTTTCTTTTTCATGATACTGTTTATTAATCCAATTGTGAGGCTTTTTGTTTTCTTTATGTTGGCATTTAATCTATTTGAAGGCTATAGTTTTGGACTTTCCCAAAGGCTAAGAAATAGAAACTAAAAGGGAGGAACATGCTCAGTATTTCTCAAGCTGGAGGAACTGAAGAATTTGTTGAGCACTGAGTTGCAATACTAAAAGATTTTATAGGGAAAATACTGAATAATGTAGGAGTATTAAAAGAAGGTGGAAGGAGGGGAGCTCTGGTGGCCTAGTGGCAAGGAGCTGCAACTACAATCCCAGAAGCAAATGGTTCGAATCCACCAGATGCTGTACCGGGGAAGGAGGAACAATCTCCTCCTGTACCAGTCAGATATGATTTGATGGTACACGCACACAAAAATAATAAAATAAATATAAAAACAAAAGCAAAAACTTATTCCTCTAAAAAAAAAAAAGGTGGAAGATTACATAACATTGTGTCAAAAAGAATTGGTTTGTGCTAGTCTGTTTTAGGAGGTATGATATGATAAAGAACCAGTGATACTGAAGGAAAAATTCTAAGCTGTACTGAAGCCTTTGGCAAAAAAATAAGGCACCAGGAATTGAAAAAATACCATACTACCTAAATTCTTCTTCTTGTAGAACTTAATATATACATTTTATATGGATAATATGCATTTTATTATTTCTAAACTTTTCAGTTTTGAGTGTTTAGAACATAAAGTATTTTGTGAATTTGTGTTCCTGATATTGACAGTGCTCATTTAAATTAACAACTAATTTAAATTATACATTGTTGATTTAGTGTTATATTCCTACCAGGGATGAGGAACTTAAACTGGTATCAATTCCATATCTCAGCTGTTAGCATAGCTCCCACTAAAACTAAAAGACAGTAAAATTGAGTTATAATCAATGAAAAATTTTCAATTCTGGAGCAATCCTTAGTAGTTTAATGATAACAGAATATCATTTTTGCTTCATATATTTGGTTCCCAAATGTTTAATGAAGAGAATTCCGGGATACTATAGGTTTTAACTGATTTTTATTAGAATTTTGTTAAATCACCTGGAGATAGCTGATATACTGAATCAATAATTCTTATGGGGATTTTGAAATTGTTAACCTTAAATTGCCTAAATTATGTTTGTGTTATATATGTTGTTGTTGTGTACCGTCGAGTTGCCTGCGACTCATAGTGACCCTATGTACAACAGCCCTAAACTTTGCTCTGTCCTGTGCCAATCACACTGTCTCTGACACACCCACCCCCACTACTCCAGTCACTGAATCAATCCACCTCATAGAGGGTCTTCCTCTCCTGCGCTGTCCCTCCACCCTCCCAAGCAAGATGTCCCTTTTCAAGGACTGGTCCCTCCTTGCAACATGTCCAAGAAGCTTCAGAATCCTTGCCTCCAAGGAGCATCCCAGTTTAAACCTCTCCAGGCTGAACCTATTCATTTTTTTAGCAGTTCGTGGAATATTCAAAACTCTTCCCCAGCACCACAGCTCAAAGACATCAATTCTCCTTCTATCCTCCCTAGTCATTATCCAGCTCTCTGATGCATAGCAAGTGATTGCAAAGATCATGGCATGTATCAAGCTCACCTTAGTCTCCAGAGTGACACCATTGTTCTTCAATACTCTGGAGAGGTCCCTAACAGCAGACTTTCCCATTGCAATATGTCTTTTAATTTCCTGGCTGCTGGTGCCAAGAGTCTTGACTGTGGAGCCAAGCAAACTAAAGCTGTGAATAATCTCAATCTCTTAACCTTCCATCCTGATGCTGCCATTTGGACCAGTGGTGAGAATCTTTGTCTTCTTGATATTGAGCCTCAATCCACATTGAAGACTGCAATCCCTGACCTTCTGCAGCAAGCCCTTCAGGTCCTCTTCAGTTTCAGGAAGCAAGGTTTTGTCATCTGCCTAACACAAATTGTTGATGGATCTACCACCAATCCTGATGCCACACTTCTCCTCATAGAGCCCAAACTGCCCGATAATCTGTTCTGCATATATGTTTTAAAGGTATGGAGGTAGGACACATCCCTGGGGTACACCCTTCCCAATTTTGAACCATGCAGTGTTTCCTTGCTCTGTTCTGACGACTGCCTCCTGGTCCAAGTATAGGTTTCACATTAGCATGATCAAGTATTCTGGGGTTCCCATTTTTCTCAGAGTCAGCCACAGTTTGTTGTGGTCCACACAGTCAAAACACCTTTGCATAATCAATGAAACACAGGCATTCCTCTGTACTCCCTGCTTTCAGCCAAGATCCATCTAACATTAGCTACAATATCGCTTCTAAACCCAGCCTGGACTTTTGGCAGTTCTCTGTTGATGTGCTGTTCCAGTCATTTTTTTATAATCTTCAGCAAAATCTTACTTGCATGTGATATCAATGATACACTCTGTTGGGTCACCTTTCTTTAGAATAGGAACAAATACAGATCTCTTCCAGTCTGTTGGCCAAGTGGTTGTCTTATATACTTGATTTTTTATATTCTCATTTTCTTTTTTCAACTATAGGTAGCATCTTCCCATATTGTTGTTGTTGTTATTGATTGCTGTCAAGTTGAGCACGACTCACAGTGACCTCATGAACAAAAGGGTCTGAAGTCCTTCCATAACCATCGCCATTTACCAGAGTTCACAGAGTTTCCAAAGGCATGTTGTTTAGGAAGTGGATGCTGCTTCTGCTTCCAAACTTGTCTTAAACTGGGAGCTCCACCAAGCACTGTATATCCGCCTCTTTTTCTAATGAGAAATACCCTTACTAGATTATGCTTTAAAGAACTTTAATACTATGAATATGTTGGTTTATTAGTTCATGTTCTGTAACCTTTCCAAAGAATTGATACAAACTTTCATGCTCAAAGATAGTTCAGGGAACTATCCAGTAGTATGGGGAAAGTTGGGTTCAGGATCTTAGATTTAGAATAGTGAACTATTATGCAGCCTTTAAAAACACTTCATAGATTTAAAAAAAAAAAGCACATAGATATGTGAATAAAGCCTGTAAAATTGTATAGGATTGCATTTTAGGGGTGTGGCATGTATTTTTTCTTAAAACCTGCTGGAGAGTCAGCTTTGTATTGGTTCCAACTCGATGGGTACACAACAGCCACATAGTGTTGTTGTAGATGATTTATTTTTTTAAATGTATTTTTATTCCCAATATTTTCTCTAATGGATTTATGTTACTTTTTTACTTAGAAAGATTTTGTAACTTAAAACAAATTTTACTCTAAAATGTAGGAATTCATTAAGAAACAAAAGATAACCAACCAGTCTTCAGGTAGTAAATTTATTGATTATGCCAGTATTCAACTTTCAGAAATTAATTGGAAGATTTCTTTATTATCCAAACCAAACCAAATTTTTTTAACCTTCATATAGCTTTGAAACATAAACATTCTAGCTCGTTTTACATGTAGTCTTAAATTGCACAAGCATTTATATGATTATGTTGTTCTTTTCTCTTTAAGCCCAAGGTTTAATTCTTTTCCCATCTCTACACCCTTTATTCTAGTTCTTTATCTTATAGTGGTCTTTATTTTTATAGATTTTGCAAATCTAAACACTTTTTAGTCCATACTTTCATTTTACATAAATATGAAGGAATCCTGGTCTAATTCTAAGGATTTATTGTACTTTATCCCTCTTCCTTTTGCCACTCAGTTGGAATGGAACAACGTCTGATTTTATTTATTCTGTAATGAAGTTAGAAAGATCAGCATTTAAGGCCTCTTTAAACATTCAGTATGACAGCTTTTCTAACCCTTTCATTCCTCTTTTGTAAAAAAAAAAATAATAATACTAATATAATAATATATATAATATTAGATCTTATAAGGTAGTATTTCTCACAGACCTATCACATAGTAAATATTCAATTATTGATACCTGTTATTACTGCATTTATCTTTTTTCTTTTTTATATAATCTTTTTCCTTTGCGACTCCTGACAGCATTTTGTTCTTTTATGTATGGAGTCTTCATATGTCAGAAACTAACTCTATCAGCTAAAAACTTTCCTTTTCAAAAACTGTCATGGATAATTGTATATGTATTGTATGCATTAATATGACATCATTTCTTTTCCAATTTTTTTTTCAATAGGCAAGAAAAGAAATAGAGGTGAAAGGTGAGTGGATAATATCCTCAAGATGTAGCGAACAAGTTTCTCACATTCCGTACAGCTTTATTAAGGAAGCAGAACACCACTGCTTGTTGCATAGCCCAATTCCTGTGAACTGTCCTATACGATTGCTCCACGGCATGAAGGACGACATTGTACCTTGGCAAACCTCCATGCATATTGCTGACAGAGTAATCAGCACAGACGTAGATATTATCCTCCGAAAAGATAGTGACCACCGAATGAAGGAAAAGGCAGACATTCAACTGATTGTGTGCACTATTGATGACGTAATTGATAAACTTACAACTACAGCTTGAATTACATCATGATGTATCTATTTTATTGTATAGTGGGCTAGAATCATATTTTTAAATGGTATGTAAACTAATATATTCAGAACACTAGAAGTGATAATAGCAAATTAAAGGCACTATAGCTGTAATGTTTCCTTTTTACCTCTATTTTGTGAATATCAGATGAGTATTTATTTAATGATGGTTTGTACATATTGTAAAGAATGAATCGGCTGTTATTTGGAAATTTTATTCTTCCTAAAATGCTTGATTCGTTTTTTGTTGTTGTTGTTAAAGAATTTCTAGTTTTAAAATCAAGCTCTTTTCTTCCTTATCCTTGTGCTAATCATGCCAGTTCTTAATTATGTTCTCTTCTACTTAAAAGTGTTTTATTAAACTAAGCTTAAATTATTTTTTTGTTTATTTGTTTGGCACCATTATATATGGGAGTTTGTAAAATTATTGTGTCTGATGTTAAAATGCATTTCACAAAATGTAGCAAAAGTGTTTATTGAAGTAAATTTTAAATGATTAGAGAAATGTCTGGTGCATATAATAAAGCTTAGAAAAATAAATGTTACTTTGTAAATTCTCTGTTGTTTTTAAATGTCTCCAAGTCATGGCAATTCACTTTTAACACATTCACTTCTAGCCTTCTGTACAACAGAACAAAACAGGCTCCCCAGCCCTGCACCATCCTCCTACAGTCTCTGCTGTGCTTAGACCTATTAACGTGACCACTGTGTCAAAACATCTCGTTGAATGTATTTCTCTTTTTTGTTGACTGTTTCCATTGCCCAAAATGATGTCATTCTCCAGGAACTGGGCCCTCCAGACAAGATGACCAAACTATGTGAGACTCAATCTCACATTCTGACTACACTTCTTTCAGAACAGATGTGTTTATTCTTTTGGCAGTACATGGGATATTCAATACTCCTCACCAGTGCCACAATTCAAAGACAGTAGTTCTCTGATCTTACTCATCATTCAGTCTTTAGTACTTCATAGAGGTCTTTAACAGCAGATAGATCCAGTGCAGTACACTGTTTCATTTCTTGGCTCCAGCTTTCATGAGTATTGATTGTGGATCCAAGTAAAATGAAATCTTTGATAACTTTAATCTCTTTTCCCTTTCTTAAATTTGTCATTGACCCAGTTGTGAGAATTTTGTTTTATGTTGAGCTGTAATTCATACTGAAGGCTGTATTCTGAGCTTCATCAGTAAGTGCTACTAGTCATCTTCACTTCTGGTGAACAAGGCTGTATCATGAGTCTTCCTCCAGTCCTTATGCCACATTTTCCATATAGTTCACCTCAGATTATTTGTTCAGGATGCAGACTGAGTATGGTAAAAGTATACAACTCTGACATATACCTTCCTGATTTTAAAACACGAATAAAATTCAAGAGATATATTTACGGAGTCCCTGAGTAACAATCAGTTAAAGCACTCAGCGTCTAACCCAAAGGTGGGTGATTCAGGTCCATGCAGATGCCTGTCCAAAGAGAGACCTGGCAATCTACTGGAAAATCAACCACCAAATATCCCATGGTGTACAGTTCTAATATATATGAGCTGTCCTATGTTGCAACTGCTTCAACAGCAGGTGGTGTCTTGTTTATATAAGTTAAAAAACTTGACATATAGTTAAGAGAGCTGGTGTTGTAATCTCTAGGGAATTGAACTACTAACTCAGAGGCTTCTAAACTCAGCAATTAAAATCAGCCAGCAACTCCTCAAGAGAGATTGGTAATCTCCTGTGTGATTTGCAGCCTCAGAAACCCAATGAGTTAGATATGTGTCAGTTTCAATTTGAAGACAATAAGAATGATAGATTTAAATGATACCATTTTATCTTAACTATAGAAAATGTTTATACTCTGATTGGCACATAAAGAGTAAACTGCTCTTTACATATTATTACCCACCTGAAGAAATGCTGTACATAGTTGCTACATATGTAAGTCAGAGGGAGTTCTGAAGTGTGAAATTCCAGTAAGAAAATATCAAATACAAAAGTAATAAAGTGTTTGCAGTATTCAGGCTTAATACAATGTGTGTTTTTTAACCCTCTAATTTTGCCTGTATTTTGTTTTAACTTTAGTGGAAGTGAGTGAGTCTGACTTCTGGATTCATAAAGGGAAATGGTCCCCGTTAATATGCATAGTTTCAAACAAATAGCTACATGGTCAGACATGCCACCCCTCCTGCTCCTGCCCTTATGTCTATGAGTCATTGGGTCCAATGTTTATTGCAAATTTACTCAGCCTTAATTCATAGTTTTGGAGTTTATTAGCAAAATAGGGGTTGAGGGGTACAAAGGATATCACATAGTAAAAGTCTAGGTTTAGTGAACAGCAGCCCCAACCCAAATTGAGATTAAGACACAATTCCTCAGTTTGTTAAGACAGTTTCTCACTTAACAGGTAAAAGTCTAGTTTCAGGTTAGCAGCCCAAATAAACCTTTGATTTCCTCAGTTATCCAGCAAGCTTTGTCTCACAGCAGTCACAAGCAAAACCTTTAACTTTGGCTTTTTTTTCAGGGTTTTGTTAGGTTTGACCTTGCCACAGTCTCCCGTATTGTGGAAAGTATTCTTTCTTATATTAGTCCCTCAGTTAATGATTTGCAAGACTGTGTTTGCAGTTGAGATAGTTGAGTTGAATCCCTGCCCCCAGCAAGGGCTATCTCAATGGATAGCCATTTTTCAAAATTCTAACACTGCAAGTATGCTTCAGTTATGTTGTTATGTGCCATCAAGTCACTTGCGACTCATAGCGACCCTATGTACAACAGCCCTAAACTCTGCTCTGTCCTATGCCAATCACACTGTCTCTGATACACCCATCCTGATTATCCCAGTCATGGAATCAGTCCATCTCATAGAGGGTCTTCCCCTCCTGCGCTGTCCCTCCACCCTCCCAAGCATGATGTCCCTCTGCAAGGACCGGTTCCTCCTTACAACATATCCAAAGTATGTTAGATGGAGCCTCAGAATCCTTGCCTCCAAGGAGCAGCCTGGTTTAACCCCCTCCAGGATGAATCTGTTTGTTTTCCTAGCAGTTCGTGGTACCCTCAATACTCTTCTCCAGCACCACAGCTCAAAGGCATCAATTCTCCTTCTATCCTCCTTAGTCACTGTCCAACTCTCTGATGCATAAGAAGTGTTAGCAAAGACCATGGCCTGTATCAAACACACCTTAGTGTCCAGAGAGACACCATTGCTCTTCAGTACTTTGGAGAGGGAAAGCAGACTTTCCCATGGCAATACGTCTTTTAATTTCCTGGCTACTGGTGCCGAGAGTGTTGACTGTGGAGCCAAGTAAACTAAAGCTGTGAACAATCTCAGTCTCTTCACCATCCCTCCTGATGCTGCCAGTTGGCCCAGTGGTGAGAATCTTTGTCTTCTTGACATTGAACCTCAATCCATATTGGAAGCTGCAGTCCTTGACCCTCTGCAGCAAGCGCTTCGGGTCCTCCTCAGTTTCAGCAAGCAGGGTTGTGTCATCTGCATAACGCAGATTGTTGATGAATCTTCCACCAACCCTGACCCCACACTTCTCCTCATAGAGCCCAGCCTCTTGGATAATCTGTTCTGCATGCAGGTTGGAAAGATATGGAGACAGGACACATCCCTGGCGTATGTCCTTCCCAATTTTGAACCATGTAGTGTCTCCTTGCTCTGTTCTGATGACTGCCTCTTGGTCCAAGTATAGGTTTTTCATTAGCACGATCAAGTGTTCTGGGATTCCCATTCTTCTCAGAGTCAGCCAGTTTGTTATGATCCACAGTAAAACGCCTTTGCATAAGCAATGAAACACAGATACACATTCCACTGGTATTCCCTTCAGTTTTATATGTCAAAATAAAACATGACTCATGCTAAAGATTTATTTAATGAAATCAGGATGGTAAACATAGTTTAAAGGAGAATTTGAGACAACCAGTATAGGCATTGAAGAAAAATGTTAGAATCAAATTTCTAGATTAGATACTGTGCAGAAAAGTTCACCAGGCAGACCTGACTGCTTATCCTTATAATTAAGAATGTGTGCAAGGTGGCACTTGGCTGACATCTATTGTTGCTAGATGCAATCAAATAAACTTAAGACTTTTAATGACCCCAGGAAAAACAATGAAATGCTGCCCTTCCCTGCTGTCTACAATCTCTACCGTACTCAAGTGCACTGTTACTATGTCAATCCATCTCATTGAAGATCTTCCTCTCTTGCTAGCTAGCCCTGTGCTTTTCCAAGCATGGTGATTTTTCCAAACACTGGTATCTCCTAATAACATGACAAAATTTTGCAAGACATATTATCACCATCTTTTTTTATAAGAAGCACCTTGGTTGCACTTTCTCTAAAATATGTTTGCTCTTTTTGAAGTCAATGGGATATTCAGTACTAGTTATTAAGACTACAAACCAAAGGTCTCAATTCTTCTCTTTTTTACTTTATTGTCCAACTTTAAATGCATACAAAACAATGGGAAATACCATGGCTTAGATCAAGAGCTCCTTAGTCATAAAACTAACATTTTTGCTCTTTAGCCTTTAAAGCTGGTCCCTGACAGCAGATTTATCCAGTGTAACATATCTTTTGATTTCTTGACCATTGCAACAGGGCCTGTCGCTTATAGATCTAAGTAAATGTAAATCATTGACAACTTAATAATTTTCTCCATGTCATGATGTTGCCTTTTGGTATAGTTGTGAAGATTTTTTTTCTTGATGTTGAGATGCCATCCATATTGAAGGCTGTAGTCTTTGACTTTCTTTAATAAATTCTTCAAGTCTTCTTCACTTTGGTATGCTATGTGCATAACATAACCTATAGTTGATAAGTCCTCCTTCAATCCTAATACCACATTCTTCTTCGTATAGTCCAGCTTCTTGAATGATTTGCTCAGCATACAGACGGAATAGGTACGGAGAAAGTCTATAGTAGTGATGCATACCTTTCCTGATTTTTAAACCACTGTCCCCATGTTCTGGGTCAATGACTGCTTCTTGGTCTAAGT